GCCAACACGACCCTTCGTTTGTAAGTAGGTACGGTAGAGCATCGGAAAGGGGGTAGGGGGCGGGACAAGGGGGTAGGGATTCCAAACCCACCCACACACCTGTCAGACCTGTCGCGCTTTCGGCAGCGAATGTCTCCATCCGAAACTCGTAAAGCAGCAAACACCTGTTCCTTCAACGGACGAGAGACAACGGAGGTATACCGTCTCCAGACACATGATGCATCGGACGTATGACGCTGCCCTGTGACCGCCTTCGCAAGGCCGGCGGCTCGAGATCCCAACCACACTCCCATCGACTGCGAGACGCTCACGGAGGGCCGCTCACGTGCTCTGGTCCGAACTCTGCACGAGGTATCCGCTACGCTTTGGCCCTTCAGGTACCTGTGCAACAATGTCATGCTCACAGTACGAATGCGTTTGGAAACGGGCTCATTGATTATGCTGTTTACCATGCGGGCCTGAACACTGGTATTGCTTACACAGGTAGTACATGGTACAAGTTTGCTGAGCCATGTCACGGTATCATCCGCTTTTGACAGTAGCGTGTCTTCATGTTCATGCTCCACAAGCTCTCCATCCTTCGTGATTGATATCCAGCCGTTTTCGAAGCGTGAATCCGGACACGCACCGAGGTACCAAGTTGTCGGACCTATTCGCATATGACCTGCACCCACACTGGCTTTCCCCCTTACTCTCAACGATATATCTCTCTGTGAGGCTCGCTGCTGTAAGCCAAATCCTGAGGAGCACCAAGAGGCCGCTCGATGTAGGCAACGCCCTCGTCACCACGCGTAGGATGTCCGTAGTAGCTCTCGACGGGGCGGGCACTGAATTCCCGCCGCGGGGCACCCGACTCGGCAGGCCGCATGCTGTAGGCGCGAGGCAGGGGAGGGTGCATCATCTCACGATGCGCTCCAGCAGGAGGATAGCTTGGGTGGGCAGGCAAGTCGGGTCTGACGGTCTGCACCCTTCCATACTCGGGTGGCATCTCGTAGCGGACCGGCTCCGCAGGCCGGGCCGTGGTTGCACGCATCGCGTACTCCCGTGGCGCCCCCTCGGCGGGGCCCCTCTCTTGACCCGGGCCGCTCCTGACCTGGACATACTGCTCCAGTGGTGGGGGCGGCATGGGACGAGATGAATACTCGCGCTGCCGGTAAGCTCTGTGGGGATCAGTAGCGTACTCCGGCTGCGTAACCACTCTGCGTGGAGCATAGGTCGGCGAAACCCGGCGGTACACAACGCCATTTTCTTCATATTCAATTGGTCGGCGAGACTCGGCTCGCAAAGGCCTCTCGTAGAGGACCTCCGCGTCGTCCATCCTCATGGATGCCGGTGGTACTGACTGACGCACCGCGGGAGCAGGAGGTTGCGGCTCGTAGTAATGCCGGCCAGACGCGTCGACGACTACGCGGGCGGCCGGTGGGGCCATGAGCGGTGATGCGCGCTCTCGCATGAGTGGTGACCGCGATCTGGCTCTGCCAACCTCTGGCCGTGCACTCATGCGAGGCACCTCGTAGGCGTCGCGGTAAACACGTTGGGGCTCACGATCGTAGCGGTCCACGGCGACAGGCTGGACCGCGGCGGGGTAATACTCGCTTGCGCCGTACTGAACTGGATACGGCTGTACGCTGCTGGTGACTCGACGGTCCTGCTCGTATGCTGGCGGAGCATAACCGTAGCCACCCGCTGCTGGCGCGTAGCTTGCTGGTCGTGGGCGGTAGTCATCTGGTCCCGGGTAAGCAGGAGCTGGAACGTGAGGGAGAGCTCCGTCATCTCTAAACGTTCGAGAGGGCTGACGCCTGTGGAGGTCCTGCGCTTCCTCTGCCTGCCTCTTCTGACGCTTCTGGGGCCTAGTAAAGGTTGGAGCGTTAAGAGGTGATGGTGACCGGGGCTCCTCCTTGATATACGGCACACCCGCAGCATGGGCCCCGGTCTTCTTGTTCTTTTTGTCCTTCTTCTTCCCTTTCCCCTTCGCGCCCTTGCGGCCTCCTTGTGGTGAGCTGTCCGGGCTAGAGACAGTGTTTGCCACGTTGCGCAGAGCAGCGACTTGGGCTGTTGTGCCCTGGATAATACCTGACCCTTGGCTGCCTGGCTGGGCCCGCCCTGCAGTAGCCAGCGACGATACGTGAAATGGCTGAGGAGCAACAGGTGAAATGGCCTGAGCAACAACAACTGGCGATGGCTGCCTGGGAGCATGGGGCTCTGCGGGCCGATACTGGCCTGCATTGCGAACAGACCTACCAGACTGTTCATCAAGTTCCATCATGTTTCCTGACCCCGAGCGGCTGACCTCACCGCTGCCATCGCCGAAAGACGTGGAGTCAGCTGTTGTGTTGCCATCCAAAAGACCATGCCTGTCTTTCCTTATTTGCGTGCTTGTGCTTGCAGAGAAGGTATTGTTGTAGGTGGGATAGGAGTAGGAGGAGGGGGTGGGCTGGGGAGCACCCATCGACGACTGGCCCTGCTGCTGATAAGTAGCTACTGGACGCGAGACAGGTGGATGCGCTTCGGTCTGCTGTTGCGGCTTGTACTGGGCAAGTACTGGAGCGCCAGGGACCGTGGGATGATATCGCTGATCTGGCTGCAACGTGGGCACGCCGTCGGAAGCCCGGCCAGCTTGTGAACTAGCCTGCGACGGATCTGGCGAGTTGTGCTGGGAGGAGTAATACGAGTTCTCGTCGAAGGAGTCACTTGCAGCTTCAGGGTTAGCAGCGAACTCGGTGGCATCAGCATTGAGAGGAGCAGTGGCCTCGACAAGAGTCAGCGCCTTTGACAGAACGTCGTGCAGGTTGAAGTCGGCCAGCGTCTCCAGCTGCGTAGATGCCTTCTGCGCGATGCGGCGCTGATCAACCTCTTCTCTCAGAGCGCGCTCTAGACGCTGCCTCTGCAACTGTATCTCGGCTCTAATGAGATCATCAGATTTTTCGAGGAAGATGGGATTGATCTGTGCACCCGCCGAGCCGTATGCCCTGGCCGAAGAGGCACTGGCTTGGGGCGCTGCAGGAGCGCCCAAGCCGGGTACGTAGGCATTGGGGACGTGGGCAGAGATGGCGGGAACGCTGTTATTTTGACGTTGGACAGCTTGTTTTGGCGCTTTGGGCGCGCCTATGGGATGGGAAGGGGATGCAAGGTTAGAACGGGAGGGCTTGCCGGACGAATGATGCAGGACTTTGATCCTGGGATGGGTGCCAGCGAGGATGGCATCTCGAAACTGCACAATCTTCTCGCACTGCTGGATCTGGTAAAGGACATCCTCCGCTGATGGATGACTTGCTGGCGGCAAAGTGCCTCTTGCAACCTGGCCTGTAGCCATGGCGAGACTAGGGTCAGCGACGCGAGGCGAAGGCTGGCCCGAGAGTGAAGCTCGCGACGTGGTTTGAAGACTCGAAATCTCGAGTGACAGAGAGTAGCATCAAGCGTTGAGGACGAAAGAGGTCAGAGAACGACTCGAAAGCGTGCCGTGGTGCAGTTCCTGGGACACGACAATCTTCACGGCAGTGCCAGTGTGGGATGGGGATGCGTGGAGGAAAAGCGGCCAACAACAGCAGATAGCGACGTGTTTTGGGGAGTCTCCGATCACGAGCAAGCTTCATCAGAGACAAGATTTAATTCTGGCTCTGGCTGGTTACAGTGGTGCACGGACGGATACTCGGTTACTGGGGCTGCGCCAGTGACTTAGCGCCCCGTTAGTATTCGCACCATCATCGCGATGTGGCTGGTGCATCTGCGGCTGCTGTGGCTGGTCCACCAGCTGTAGGGAGTGGAGACGGCCATCACATTCCCCGCGGCGACGACCCCACGACTGGAGCCCCCGGGCCAACATTGGATGCACCTCACGTCAATCGAGTTAGGCGGCCGGTGACTCAAAAAAAACGATTGAACAAGTTCATGATTCATACGTTCATGCGCAGACGGGGATTAAATGACCAGACTTCTCTGCGCTTCAGCCACAACTTCTGTCTTCATGATCACCAGACTCTCCAGCTCACTCGGAACTTTCACCTCAACCCGAACACGCCTCACTCCGATCTTGACTATACGACCCCAAACGGCATCAAGATTGATCACATCAGTTGCAGCCCCTTCGAAGACCCTCCAACGTAGACGAAGGCCGACGGCAGATCGCATCGTACTGATCGCATATACGAATCAAGCATTGAACAAACGCGCCACCAGCACCATGACGGGGGATCAAAGCCAGACCAATGGAGCGCCAGCTTCCAAACCAGTCCTATTTTTGTAAGCTCTTTGAGCCAAGGCTAACATCTCTGCCTTATACTGGATTATCGAGACTGACATATTGTTGAAGCGATATCGACAACTGTCTATACCCTAGGAGTAAGTTGCGCCAAGTTCAACCCGGTACATCGCGCCATGTGACCTCGGACTGATCGTCTTAGAATCTCAAATCCAGGACCTCATGGCTGAGCTCATTGATAAGTTCTTCTCAAACCACCTCTCCCTCTCCTGGGACGATGCTGTGAAGCTCCACAAGGAGTACTACACCAACTACGGCCTCGCCATCGAAGGCTTGGTCCGCCACCACGAAATTGACCCCCTGGAATACAACTCCAAGGTCGACGACGCCCTGCCCCTGGAGGATATCCTGACGCCTGACCCAGAACTGCGCCAGCTGCTGCAGGACATTGACCGTAGCAAGGTCTCTGTGCGCCTCCTCACCAACGCCTACAAGACGCATGGCCAGCGCGTAGTGAAGCTCCTGGGCATCGAGGACCAGTTCGAAGGTCTCACGTTCTGCGACTATGCCGAGCAGCCGCTGACGTGCAAGCCTGCCAAGGCCATGTACCTCAAGGCCATGCAGCACGCAGGCGTTGAGAGGCCGGAGGACTGCTACTTTGTCGGTACGTGCTCTCGGTCTTGTCGATTGTCGATCGGCGATTGAATTAGTGACTAACATGCTGTGCAGATGACTCTTACCAGAACTGCAAGGCCGCGCAAGAATATGGCTGGACGGCAGCGCACCTGGTCGAAGAGGGCCTCTCCGTGCCGAGGACGCCGGCGTCGCAGTACCAGATCCGTCACTTGCAAGAACTAAGGAACGTTTACCCCCAGTTCTTCAAGTCGGCCAGCTCCTAGACATTTCATAGCGCAGCGACATAGTGTCTTTAGACTACAGTATTATCATGTTTGTTTTTATCCTCGCAAGGGTCGGGCAGACGAGTTGTAAATTCATAGAGGCGTCCAAAGACCAGTCCATTCTAGCCGGGTATCATGCTCTCTATCTTCCAAGTGCCAAGTGCCCACGCCCTCCAAAACAAAACAAAAACAGCCGTGACGCCTCAAAGAGCCCATGCAGTCATCTTTTCTTGGCAGGCCGTTGGCAGCTCACGGCCTGCGCACGTTCCGTATCACCTCGGCCAGCTTGACGAGGATCTGGTCCTTCTCCTTGATGGCCTCCTGCCTCTGCACTTCCGCAATCTTGAGCTCCTCCTCCAGCTCGCGCACATTCTTCTCCTGGTCGGCTTCGCTGGTGTCGAGACCGGGCAGGGTCGAGATGAGGACTTCGATCTGCTGCTCCTTGACGATGAGGTCGCGCGACAGCTCGAGCAGGCCGGCGCGGAATTCTTCGGCATCGGCTGGTTCCACTGGAAGATGGTCAGATCGCGCCGGTCAACGATCCATGTGATGTTTTCCCGACCCTACCTTCGAGCTGGCTGGCACCCTTAGTGACATCGCGCACCTTGTCCTTCGGCCCTAGGACCTCGAGGTCATGGTGGCGGTTGACGTAGTGGAAGCAGGCGACGAATTGCTGGGCCAGCTGCGGGACGCGGGTCAGCAGCGATCTTGCGGAGAATGCGTCTTGGCCTCTGGGGGGTATACCTGGTCGACAGCGTCCTGCAGCTGTGTGAGTCGATCGGTCATGTTGGCGGCGCAAACGGTCGCACTCGTGGTGCCGAGGCGTGAGGTTACGGCAAGGCTGAGGGATTGGGGAAGTCATTGGCCCGTGAGGTTGATGGGTGGTGGTTGTCGAGTGGGGCAGCACATCGGCGGGGGGTCTTCCCGGGCACTTCAGCGTGCATGGTGGCAAGGCACAATGGGCGCCTTGCAATTGCAATGCCTTTGCCCATCGAAGACAGGGGGAGACTTTGCGTGAAAATAGGTATAACCCTATTGCATGGATAATCTCTCTACTCCCCCCCCCCCCCTCTCTATTTTCTTTTTCTGTTTTCACTTTTCGCAGGCTTGACCACGTTTCGTTAGCAGAGAATCATTGTGCTTAATGTAGGCACTGGGTTGAGATTTGGACACATGTACAAGTCGTCCGTTGATCGTCCAACATTCATCCTCACCACCTGAAGTGAGCATGACTGCTAGTAAGCAGCATACAGCCTATTGAAACCCGAGCGCAATAGGAAGCCTGGCGTCTCAGAAGATCATCAAACTCCATATTCGCACAGAACCAGTGACGCGCAAAGACAATGGTGTGACTTACCTAGACAGGACAACGGGGTTGCCTTCTTTGGGCATATCCTTGGCATTCATTCGCCTATTCGGGCTCACCTATTTGGCTTCGTAAGAATGAATTATATTTGAGCTTCGTTGTACCGTAGTAGGTATGGTTCTTCCAGAGCAGGATGACCTCAGTTCGTGGAAATATTGTACTCGCCATGTTCAGGAATAGAGCTCCAAAGAAGACTACCAACTACACTACACTCGTAGTGTAATGTATTTTTCTAACACCGTTCTACCCGCCAAGGGAATCTAGATTAGCTACCATACGATCAATCCGAATATCCACACACCAACGGGTAAAAGCCAACTTTCGACCATGCATGAAGACCATGATACTGCTCGAGGACATGTGAAATTTCTTCCCTCTGGTAGCTCTAGTCTGCTTTGCTGGATGATATTGTAGACACCGGACGAGTTGTAACATTGGACGAAATTGCGACTCATAGTGAGTTACGAAAGCTTCCTTCAAATAACACTTCACCTGGTTCTTCCTAATATGCAATCAAAGCCAGCATGTAGGCAAATAGTCAGCTGCCTCTACGAGCGCTCACGACCAAAGTCTGTCGTGAAGTCTAGCTGAAGCAAACATGACGAGAGCGCCCTATAGCTAGAGAAAAAGTGACGAGAGGGACTGGGAGGGAAGGCTCCGCTGGAATACTTGGTCATATTACCTTCGTCGGCTGCGACGATTTGAACAGCTGAGAGGATGCTCGGGTGGACAACCGAAAGGAATTAAAACCGCGACCTGCGACCACTTTGGCGTAGTCGAGGGGAAACTCGTGAACATCAAGCATCAATAGGGACACAGAAGACGGACCCGAAAGTCATACCTATGATTTACACGATCTCAATATCATGTAAAGCTCGCGTAGCATTCTCGCTGCGTGTGATATGCGACTAACAATACACGCCGCAACACCGGCAGTTCCCGTCTGCCCAAGCCTCACCACCAGGAGGCCACTTATTTCAATACAGAAAATCATACAACCAGCAGAAAGCGTCTTGATAGCGCCCATGACCGCCAGTTTTCGAGGTCCTTCCTACACCGATACCCTCTTCCGCCGGAAGACCCCTTCCCAATCCGTGATGTACACAAGGCGGCTCCAACACGTTGGCTCGTTGTCGCGAACAAAGCAACTTTGACGACTGAATTTGTTGGCGAGGTACGCGCCAACGGGTCTCCGAAGAGTCCAGACGATGCGGACCACCCCCCTTCAGTTATATCCGTTTAATATCTGAACGAAGCTCCTCAGCAAATGATTCGGACCGGCCATTGTTACAACAGTGTGTGTAGCTGAGAGACTGGTTCGCGCGCGTGCCGAGACGAGCGGGGCGGGTTGCTGCGGAAGGGGAGGAGCGTTGCTTACACCTGCTCGGCTCCCCAACCAGCGTCGGCTTCGCGCATGTTGGCGGGTGGCTCGATCTGGGGGATGAACTCGAGAACGACGTAAGAGACGCCGATAATGCCGACGATGGAGCCGGCGATGATGCGCAGTACGTTATCGCTGAGGAGGATGGAGCCGATGAAGATGTAGACTGCGCGCATGTTAGTCCTAACAGTTTGCGACCGGGCACAGGAGTGCAGGGCTCAACTTACAGACACCACGGCCTAGGAAGGAGAAGAGGAAAGAGGCATAGCGCGAGACTTGCGGGGGAATCTGGAACTCTGCGATCTGTAAGAAAGGTACGGCTTGCGTGGAGGGCGCGGTATCACGTACCAAGAAGGGCCGTGCCTGTGTACGATGAATTAGCTAAGATGTCCATGTCTTGTGGTCCTGATTCACTTACAAAGGCCGAAGATGATGACGTAGACGCCGACGATGATGCCCTGGCTGTAAGCGACACATGTCAGTGCTGTGCTTGTCGTGTCGGATCGCAATCTCTCCAGGGTTCCGCGCCGTATTGGGCGCTCTACTCGAGCCGATAGGAGCCGCCGGTGGCACGTCCATCAATTGCTCGAGTCAGAAGATGCCCCATACGAAGCATTCCAATTTGTAGATCGCGATCGGACGAGGTGGAACGTACAAGCTGAAGTTGAAGAATTGAGCAATGCCGCCCAGGACCATGATGGTCGCAGTGACGAGGTTGACGATGCGGCTGCACAAAGAGCGCAATTGTCAGCAATGGCCGTCCTCCAATGGCTGGCCCCTCAGCGACAACTCACAAAGCGTCGGAGAGCTCCATTTTGAGATGAAAGGGAGTGAAGCCGGTTAGAAACTTGAGTTGGTGGTCGGCTGGACAAGTATTTGTCGAAGCGGAAGCCTAGTCACGGCGTCTAGGCAGCGGAATTCAACGAGTCTTGATAGGGTGAGGGTTGTCGCAAAGAGGCGAGGGATTGGCAGCCGATTCTTGGGGGGGGGGCGGTCGCGTGATGGCTTGACGAGTGGGCAGTGTTGGTGTAGAATAACAAGATGGCCAGGAGCTGGAGCCGATTGAAGACGAATGATGAAATGGGTGCGAGGCGAGCTCCTCCTGTCCAAGCTGGTCAAACCTGGCAACCCAGTCCGAGCTCAAGATCTACGCTTACCTAACCCAGACTATATACGTAAGCGGGTTCAACGTCAGCCTGTGAACGTGTGACAGATGCCCCTGATTGAAACCTCTGTGAACACCGTGCGCCCTGTCAGTGCCGACGTTTTCTTCTTCTTCTTGTTTAAATCCATCTTCGACGTCCGACTCGCATAGCGTGGTATGTGTCTCTCGTGGTGCGGGCGAGTATGGAATCTCAGCAGTACGCCATGCCACATCGCACATCTTCAGAGCATGATCTATCGCATTCAGATGCCGTAGTACTCAGTCGAATCGACTTTCCTGTGGTTTTGAGTCGTTCCTGATCTGCACCATTCATGTCGAGGGCTGGGGTCAACGCCACGAGCATGCCATCCACGTGTCAGCCTCAGGGGATAGTAAATGAACAATCATACGTAGGAAAAGTCCTAAACACGGCAAAAGGAAAGCCGGAGCGTATAGCGCCATGGATGTTCAAACAGAAGTCAAATGCTATCAGAATCACTGCAAAGCTCCTTTCAAAGAAGGATTTTTCTAAAATACGGCGTACCGTCATGACAGCTCCGTGAGAAGCATTCAACTCCGTGCCAGAACCTCCCATTTTGTCGGTATCTCTTCCATCATGCGCAAACGAAACGCCAAATCTAGGATGTCGACCACAGCTTGCCGTTGCTGTTGTTTCCCTTGCTCCGCCAAAATGCGCCAGCAGCTGTCCGGGCCCTCTCCTGATGCTAAAAGATACAAGGTTTCCCATCCCAAGACTCCGTTTCTAAACAGTAGAGGAGCCTTTCGGCGTGCCTCTTTTTCCAAGGTTCTTCGTAGCGTTTCCGTCATTTCATGGCCTGGATAGGCTTGCTAGTTCTCTTTCTTTCGCCGCGAGGGCTTCCCGCATCCTGTGTGCTTCTTGCTCCAGGGCCATGCGCCGGCCCCCATCGTCTTGTACTGGTTGCGATGGCGGGTACCCGCTGGCTGTTGGTGAAGATGTGCCTCCTGTATTGGAGTAAGATCCAGGGCTTGGTGCAAAGCCCGGTGACACGCGAGTGGCTCGAGAATACATCTCTCCCGCCTCTTCGCTCTGTGATTGCGCCATGTTTGAAGGGTTAAGAATTGATTTGATCGAGGACAGCCGCTTTGAGCTTTCCGGTCCTCCGTCCGGGGTTGGGAGACTGTCGTTGTCGGCGGCGGAGAAGGATCGTTTGCGAGACGGTGAGACGAACGACGCAGGTGACATGGACGCTTGTCGGTCTGCAACATGGGTCATCGACGTGATCGGGGCGAGTCGGTTCTCGTACGAGTGCGAGTCGTTGGAAGGGAGGGAGGGGCGTTGGTGTGTAGGCGGTTGGTAGCCCGCCAGGTCGGCAACCGACGGTAAAGTTGTGTTGTGTTGGCTTGAGGACGACGGAGCTGAGGGCAGGATAGGGGGGAGGCCGTGAGGGCGAAGTCGGAGGCCGAGGTTGATAGATCCATCGTCGTTCATGCTGCCCCTTTCTGGACTGCCCTCAGGAGCCTGACTTTGCGTTTCCGAACCGTCGTACTCCTCGTTCCAGTCGCTTCCTGCGTACGCGTTTGGCATGACTCTTTTTCTCCGCTTGATGATAGATTTCTTCATGCTCACAGGCCTATGAACACCGTGCAACTTGTAGTAGAGACCTGGTCTTATCAGTACCATTCAGATGGGAGTAGGCACTGGGCTCGAACGTACCGCAAGCGTTACATATTGTATGCCCGCTCTCATCCCTCCTCCAGAGCGGCGTTGTCGTGGTCCCGCAGTTCTGACAGGCTATGACAACCGTGGTGTTCTGGTTCTGGATCTGCAAAGCGGCAATGTCTATCGGAGCCGAGGGGTCGTCCACCCCCTGATCGCCCTGCTGGCCAGCGGAACCGCAACCCTGACCCTGCTGCTGGGGGTTGAGCTGTGCAGACTTCGAGACTCGGTTGTTGTAGGCGGGACACCCACCGCACCCTTCGGCGCCGCCTGTACCATTGCACTTTCCACCACCTGGGCACGTGCCGGTAGGCACCTGCTCCTCGGTGACATAGGTCGGTGCCGGCCCCCCTGGGTACTTGGGTCCGGGACCTGGAGCCGGGGCGATCTTGGTTGGCGCGGCTCGCGAGTTGGCGGACACGAGTTGGGGCGGCTTCTTCTTCAGGGACGTAGGGCGCGAGGCGTTCCGTGCCTTCTGATACAGGCCGCAAGCGTTGCAGATAGTGGTACCCTGGGGTGATCTCCTCCACAGAGGGGTTTGCGTCGTTCCACAGTTGCTGCGGATGATTAGCACAACACATTGGCGACGGGCAAGCCGAGAGGTCCTACCTGCAGACCTGGCCAACATGGCCCTGCGAGGAGGCAGAGGCAGTCGTCGGTGCGGGGCTTGCGCTGACGCCAGTCCTAGTCTGCGTGGGCGACGTTCCTCCCACTTCTGATGCTGGGCTGGGCGCCTGGGAGGTCGACATGGTATCGCTGGACAGGCTGCGGCGAAACTCTGCCGCCCGAAGTGGTATCGTCGCTTGCTCGCCGGCTTCCCGCGTAGGTCGAGCAGATGGCCCGGGACCGTTGATCGTGTTCTTGATGTCGTGCTGGGCTGTGGGCGACTTTCGTTGCGTAGGGAGTGCTGTTCTCGAGGTAGACGTGGTGTCCCTTTGTGCGCCATGCGCGGCAGAGCGGGCAACGTCGGACATGGCCATGTGCAAGCAGTGCTCAGTTACGAGTGGCTGCAGCAGAGAGCGGGCGCTCCGATAAACAAAGCAACGGTTGAAGGAGGGGCTGACAAAAGGCCGACAGAAGGTCGAAGATGGAGGCGAATCGCTGAACCACAGCGAGAGACGGGCGTTGTCGTGTCGGTGTAGTACACGGACAGGGGGGGGCGGTTTCGGGGGGCCAGTTGGGTGCACTGGCTATGTCGCCAGAGACGTTGGGTCCTGAGCCCCGCGTTGCAACAGACGGTGATCGGGCGGTGAGTCGTCGCTGATCACACCCGTTGCTGCCTTGGTGTACTGGACCACGGGGGCAGATGCTGCTGCTTCGCCACCAGTCACGGTTGATGAGGAAAGCCCGATTTGCGATGTCGGTACTTGTCGTTGTGAGTCCAGAAACGTGCCTACGTGGGTATCGCCACTACTGTTCCCTATTAGGGGGGGGGGGAGGGGGGGGCTCGAGAGCCAAGACGGGGATGCCGTGGCGTGCAGCAGCGTCTTCTGGCGGCTCAAGTAGCGAGGCTAGATAGAAGGAGAATAGGGAGAGAAAGAGAGGGATCGGGGGCCGCTGAAATGTGTAAAGTAGGAGTGAGATGACTGTAAGCGTTAGGGACGATGGACGTCTGTCGACAGAGAATGCATGCCGAACAGATGGGGCGTCAGGGAGTCGTCCAGATGTGCCGTCCAGCCTGAAAGACGTGGTCGAAGGATGAGGTGGGCTCCAGAGAAACCGGAGAACGACAGGGTGCGTTCCACTGAACAGGCTGATGGAGGTGGTGTGTTTGGTGAGGCCGAGGGGCGTGTGGTTGGCTGCGGTCCCGACGCTGTGGGAAGAGGCAGGCAAGAGGCAGAGGCGAGAGGCAGGTAGGTGGACGGGGGGGATCGAAGGGGGGGGGAGGGGATGCGCCTGCCACTTTAGAGGAAACTGGTTGATCTGACAGATCAGATCGGCTCCTGTCCGGCGTCTTTGTTTCTGCCTGTCTGTCTGTCTGTTTTGTCTCCCTGTGCTCCTGCTGGGCATATGCGGCACGGAGGCACAGGCACGAGGCGGCGGCGGCTGGTAGACGTGTGCTGGGGCGGGCGTAGACCTGAATAGTGAACAATGATGAAATGGGTGTGATGCTGGGAGATGGTCACTGGCAGATTGGCACACGTAGGGGGGGTCTCTCTATGCACCAATCATTTCGAGGAGAAATACAACCAACACGATATGATTGGGAGAAACCATCGACCCACTGGTAACCCTGGCCCGCGCTTGGCCTGAAGAGGGCGCCCTAGTCTCACGCCTCGGGGGGGAGCATCCGCCGCCTTGACGTGACTCGGTTGGATGCGCAACCTCCATCCGCCTCAAAGCGGCATTCGCATTTCATGCAACTGGCTTCGACGCGATGCCACATCTGACCCTGGAAATTTACGTTTGGGAAACTCCTGACTGTGGTCATGAAAACATGATGCACGTCTCTGTGGACAATGTCATCTAGCGATCCGAGCAAGCAACCCAGAGCGATCCTCAGGAGCCCGGCGCTCCGATCCCAAATGGTGGAACAGATGACCAAGATAGCATGTTCAACATCCGATCCGGCGCAATCATTTACTATCAGCTCACTACTGCGGTGCAAAGTCTGGAGCCCGGCAGAGCGCAAGCCAAGTGGAGTGCTCCCAACCAGACGGGCCCTCCTCGAAGCCTGGAAGGTGGTCGACCCAGATGGTCTTCCGAGTTCCGGTCGATGGTCACATTTGGGGCTGCCTGGCCCAACCCCTCGTTCTGCCTGTGACTTACCTAGTACAAGCACACCGCAAATAGTTCCAGCTTGTCGAGAAGCGAAGCTCCAAAAAAAAAACGAACACAAAAAAAGCGAGTTGATCGCCGGCTGGGGGCTGGTCCATGAACCAGTTTGTTGGTGACGGAAACACCCCAAGTGGGTTGTACGTTATACCAGCCATGAACCTGCTCGCCTGTTTGTTTCTCTATTTTCTGTCGATTATTTACTCAACTCATCTTTCAACGAACAGAATACATGCTTGTGCTATGCTGCCTATGCTGCGTTGGCAGAGGGGCGCTGTCTTCATCCTGCATGTCGGAAGCAGCGCAGGCTTATCCGGCCAGCGGCATGATGCAATGCAACCCCCCTAAAAAAACATGGTCGCGCAGCCCCCCCCCCTTTCACCCCCCGGATTCTGGTACCCAGAGCTCGAGGAGTTAAGGTGCAATGCCGAGGACCGATCGCAGAAGCGAGCGGCCTCGGGTTTCGTTGTATTGCTCATAAATCAGATACAAAAGTGCCGTGATCTCAAACATAACATATGTAGCTCTCGTAGAAGATGGCAAATGCGAAACACATCAACCTAGAGAGTTGATTCTATCTATTTGAATGGTCATGATGCAGTGTAGAGGATATCCATAATGATTTAAGCTGGTAATGTCTTTGTCACAGCCATTTGAACCGTTGACAGTGAAGCATTCAGCGCATGCCACACAGCGCAACAACTACACAGTTGTCGTCCAAACACAGTCAGACAAGGTTTTTTCTCCCGTTCGTCTTGCTATGCAACAGCAAGGCCAGATGTCATTTCAAGCGTCGGGGTCGCTGTCGGCGTCATCAGACAGCTGAACAAAGTTTTTTGTCAAAGTCATCATGTGGTCTCTTGCAAGGCACATGACAATGGCTACCGTGATGGCGTTCCAGACACCTTGATTCTTCACGTTAAATCCGACTTCCACCTGGTAACTGACGTGCGCAACATCATCCTTTTTTGCTGAATCTATGGACAGGATCATGACGGTGGCATTGACGATGAACATGCCGTACAGAACGGGTGGCTGTTGCATGTATGGCGACTCGATGCTGGGCCTCTGCATTTTTGATTCGTCCGTCAGATGGACGATTTCCGTTTCCCCGTCTTCGCGCTTGATGACCAGGGGAGAAGTACTGTCTCGCTGCGACTTTGCGGTGCAATCATCGTCCGACTCGCTCTTCGCAAGTCCATCTGGTGTTCCGTCTTGCGGCACAGCAGCTTTTCCCGAGCGATTGATCAGCCAATATGCACGATGTCTGGCGGCCAATGTCCTCAGCCGATTCTGCATGCGCTCTTCAATCTTGACACTGCCGACTGTGGTATCCACAATGTCTATGATGACATTGGGAACTATGTCGAGGTTGTCGTAGCTTCCGTCCTGGGCAGCCCACCTTGCATACTCTTCGAGCTCTTTGCGTATACAGATAGGCACCTTTTCACGCTGGCCGCTCTGCATCAGTGAACGGACGCTTGATGTCAATTCGATCAGCTGGATCAAAGCCTTGGTAGCTGCGACTGTATGAGCGACCAGAGAATCGACTGACGAAGGGAAGATGCCGACCTACCTTTAAATTCGTTGCTAGACTGAGAACAGATGACGGGCGTCTCGTCATCGTTCTTTGAAAACAACACGCCGGGAATGGGGATGCCCCTGAAATCCATGTCCCATTTTCTCGGCAGCAGAGGGTTGTACTGCCTCATGTACAGTATCTCAAATAGTCGAAGCTCGTCATCAGCCCACGCAGCGCTTCCTGGAAAGAATTTCTTCTCATCCACCATGGCATCAAAATGATCCTGTTCTTCCCGCGGGTCTACCTCGTCAGCAAGGTCGCCGCTGAGACCTTGGTGCGAGTCGCCGCGTCTAGGCCGTTTCGTGTGTCCATGTTGCTCACTGTCCCCATGACGTGGTGGCGTGGCCGAGTTTGGTGTCGAAGAAACATCTCTGGAGGCATGGGAGGAGTCACGGGGCCGTATTGATGCTTGGTCTGGCGACAAAGTCTTGCGCTTCTTTCCACGACTCAATGGAAGCGGCGTTGGCAAATCGGCCTCCGCTGGGTGACGGGTTTCGGCCGGCGTAGATGGTGTTGAACCTTGTAGATCCCGGCTCGTTGCCATTGTCTCCCCCTCTTGGAAGTTCTCTGCTTCGATGATGAAAGTAAAAAAAAAAATGCCAAGGTTGAGAGAAAGGGGCAGGCGTGAAGCGGTGTAGGAAAGTCTGTCAATTGGTCTCAGGCACGGAGCAGCTGCAGATTGGTGATAGGTTGGATTGAACGTAGGAAAAACAGAAACATGGGCGGGAAGGAACGAATTCACTGGCTTTTTGTAGAACTCATATTCATCATGTCAAATGATTTCCATTGTTACTAGTCTTTGACATTTGACGATCTTTGAGCTGCCTCAAAGAAAAGCGGTCAGTGAGGGAACCTTGCTTGTTACCAACTCAATATGCCGGGGTCTGTCAATGGGACAGTACGGGAGTCGTCACAATGGAATCGAGTCCAGGGGTCCCAGGGCAGGGCCACTAGCACAGTTCAGGAACGCGTCGACGCCACAAACCTCGTTGTGCTTGAGGCTTGGATCGATCCCGATAGGGCCCCGTCATCATGACGTGGGGCAGCAAGAGCAAGAGGCTCTTCTGCCCCCCTTGGGTCCACCCCCCCTTCTCAAGAAAAACCACCCCCTAGAGTGCACCTGCCTGCTATTCTGCCCTTGCGCTAGTGTGGACAAGGGGGGCAATTTTTTAGTTGGACCTGCCAACATGGAGGCAAGTGACCTCGCGACAGCTAACGCGCGCCCATGTCAAAGCACCAACACCTATCGACCTCGACCTAAGGAGGCGCGCACAACTACCTCCGTCCCCAGTCTTGTCGCAACGAGACGGCTAACACTCGGACAACCTGAGCTTAGTCCACTCTCCTTATAACCCAAGGTACATTGATACTCGGCTGTCAAGTCATCAAACCACAGGGCTCTTCGTTCAACGCGTCGCTTGGGTGCTGCCCTTATTGCATCATCAATCAATAGACTTTGAGAAACCCATTCACCATCCAACTCCGACTCCAGCAACAAAACCCAGCCACTCGACGGATCGCTCGAAACCTTCTCGACCTTCCCATGCTTCCAGTCCACTGAACTTTGCGCTTACAATGGCCGATTGGAATAAGTCCAAGGTCGTTGACCTCCGAAATGAGCTCAAGCGCCGTGGCCTTCCGCACGCAGGCTTGAAGCAAGAGCTTGTGCAGCGTCTCGATGAAGACGATGAACAGTCCGCCACATCCGGGGATGCGAAGCGAGACGAACCCTCTGAGACGGGTGCTGTTCTGGTCGCGGATGATCGAGAACCAGCTGCGGCAGACGAAGATTCTACCAGTGCACCTGCCCTAGCAATCGACGCACTCGAAACTACTGCTATTGCTGCTACCCAAGATGGAGCGCTCGCAAACTCCGAACCTGCAGAGCCCAAAAACATCCCAACCGAACCTATTGCTGCCGATGACAATGGCCCGGATGACATTGCTACGCCTGCCGCAGCTCCCCAAGAGTCGGAGGTAGTGCAAGACGCGCAAAAGCGCAAACGCCGTTCCACAAGCCCACCTCCCGAGCCCAAGCGTATAAAGGCTACTGCTGCCGAGATTCATGAAGAGAAAGTGATTCTCGCCGTGTCACCAGAAGATACCGAACAAAAAAATAGCCTAACCAGCGGCGTCGAGGAGAATACTTTACCGGACTCGAGGCAGGTGGCGGAGAGGCTAGACGACCACGAGATGCATGACATCCCAACGAACGAACAGCCTGCAAACAGTCCTGGAACCATCGATGTCGAGAACGAGCAGCAACCTGTTCGACAACCCTCATCAACACCAGAAGCACGAGGTCGACTGGCCATTCCAGAACAGCAAGCCGACTTCCAGCCCAGCCACAACGCACCAAACGACACAATGGACTATGAACGTAACGTCGAGCCCGCCGCGCACCCTGCGACCCGAGCCCTGTACATTAAGAATTTCATGAGGCCTCTCCGGGCGCCAGATGTCAAGCAGCACCTCCTTGATTTGGCTTCCTCTCGAGGCAACTCCACAGAGGAGAGTGCTATCGAAATATTCTATCTCGATCAGATCAGGACTCATGCCTTTGCTGTATTTAGCGACACGTCAAAAGCTATGCGTGTGCGTTCCGAGCTTCACAACGTGATCTGGCCAGATGAGAGCAATCGCAAACCCCTCTGGGTGGACTTTGTGCCGCCCGAGAAGGTGCAGGACTGGATCTTGGAAGAAGAACCGGAGACTGGTCGACGCGCTTCTGCGAGCTCAAGGTGGGAGATACGATACGAAAGAGACCATGACGGGAACGTGGTCGCGGTGCTCGACTCCGGCACTGCGCCAACTCCCGCCCTGGCCAACAGCGCACCACCAAACAAACTCTCGCGGCCCATGCCACCTCTCGGCCCCTCTGGGATCTCATTCCCCCTCTCTGGTCCCGGCGGCGGCAACAGCGTCAACGCCATACCAATTGGTCCTCGTGCTGGTCGCGGCGGGCGTGAACCTCCTCTCGGCCCCCGAGGCCCCTCAGACACGCGTGGCCTTGGCGGCCGAACGGCCGGCTTCGCCAGCGGTCCCCTGCGTACAACGTCCACAAATCCTCCGCTCACGTTCCAGACCGTCTCCGAGGACCTCGCACGCCAGCGCGTTGACTCGATGCGTTCCCACTACACCCGCGACATCCATCGCGATATGGGTGCTGAGGACGAAATCAACCGCTACACATTCGAATCTGGCGATGTCTTTGTAGACCGCGGTAAAGAGGTCTTCATTGGTATCCGCCCCCCGCACAGAGAAGCCGAGCGGCAACGACAGCTTACCGAAGGCGGATCGTACCGCCGCCCTGGACCGGGCCCGCGTGGCCACCCGCGCCGTGGGCCTCGCGGGCCTGGTGGTCCTGGAGGCAGGCCTCTCAGCGATCGTTATCTTCCTGGCATCAACGAGAGCGGCCCGTTCAGACAAGGTGACCGCGGGAACTTTTCGCGCCGAGAGGACGATCGTTTCGGGGACTCCAGAAGGCCGGGCGGCCGAAGGGATGAGCGCTGGGGCGGCGGCGGCGGTGGCGGCTACAGGGGAAGACCTCGCTACTAGACGGGTCGCTGAACAAGAATCGACACAGGCGCCCTTGATGCGCCAGCCTCCGTGATTTTCTGATTGGTGCTGGAAGACGACCACGGAGACGCGCTCGAGGCCTGGTAGGAATAAAGGACGGTCTGAGCCACGCAAAGGGCAGTCAGTCGGACGGCCGGAGGGATGCCATGGAGGATTTGCCTGCTGGGGCCGAGGCAATGGTTATCTGCGTCGGGGTACACACCCGCTGGTGGTGATGAGCATGGACGGGTATGGGTGACTGGTACATGATGTATGATTACTGTATGGTCTCGGGACAGAAACTAGTGTCGTAACAGTCGCAGAAATGAAACTTTGGCTAAAGTTGCAGATGGCCTGGCCGTCCGTGAGATGCGCGCAAAATGTGAGCCCGTGACATAAAGCCTCTGTCGAAAGAACTCCACGACAACTGCATCCCTACGTGTAGATGGCCGAGTAGGAAGAGTGCTACATGCTAACTTTCTCCAGTCAAATTGGCGATCACTGTATTCCAATTGTGTAGTACGCCAAGCTACTGGTCACATTTGTATGAAATGAGTAGGCAAGTCGCTCACTATGTAGTTTTACCGGTGTCGAACAACATGTCTCCATGTCTTCCTTATGCAACTCGACAAACGTGTCACATGGGAACATTGTGGCAGGCACTTTGAAGTATTCAGATTTGATCATTGAAATAAAAACAACTCCGCTAATCCCAACACGGCAACTCCCAGCAAGACGTTTTCCAATCTCACGTCCGAGAGGGCCATTCCGGTTCCGACGTCAAAAAGGAAAGGAGGGGCACACAGGCTTGAGCCACTTAGGCAGCGCTGGCCAGCGAGACGGGCTCGACGCCGACGCGCTCACGGCTGAGAATGTCGAGCATGAGCTGGGTCGGACGGTTGTCGCGGTAGACCTTCTGGTTGTCCTTGAAGAGCTGCACGCTCTGGAGGTACTTGTCGAAGAGGTAGGAGCTGTCCATGGGGCCGCCCTTGCCTCAGGATGGACTGGTCGAGAAGATGGGGCGGGTCTGTGCATCATGCCCTCGTTGCTGCCGTCGTTGAGGTTGACAAAGTACTCCTTGAAGTCGCTCGGCAGGGTGCTCGAGTCGACGGCGTAGCCGTGGTTCTGGCTGGTGATGTGGCACTGACCGGTGGTCAAGTCGAGGGCGGGAATGTTGTGGGCGCGGTTGCCGTACTTCAGCTTGATGGTGCGGGCGCCGGTGGCCAGAGCCAGAAGCTGGTGGCCGAGGCAGATGCCCATGATGGGGACGGACGAGGTCTCCATGAGGCGGCCAAGGTTGTAGATGGTCTCCTGGCAATGGGTGGGGTCACCGGGGCCGTTGGAGATGAAGACACCGTCAAAGTGAGAGGCAACCTTGTGGATGGGGTAGTTGTAGGGGAAGACAGTGACAGAGGCACCACGGCTGACAAGGCTGCGCATGATGTTTTCCTTGACACCGCAGTCGATGAGGGCGACGTGGAGGTTGGCACCGGGCGACTCGACAACGAAGGGCGCCTTGGTGCTCACGCGCTTGACAAGGTTGATCTGGCCGGGGTCGATGAAGCTCTCATCCTCGTCGGCGTCGTACTCGTCGCCGATGGAGATCCTAGCAAGGGACGAACCCTGCTCTCGGAGGTGGGTGACAATTTCACGGGTGTCGACGCCGGAGATGGCAGGCACACCCTCGCGAGCGCACCACTCGCCGAGGCTCTCGACGGCGGTCCAGTGGCTGTACTTCTCGGCGACATCAGCGACGACGACGCCGGCACACTGAATGTGAGGCGATTCGAAGTACTTCAGGAGCTTCCACTGGTCGAGCTCGTTGGAGGGAACACCATAGTTGCCAATGAGGGGCTGGGTGAAGACGAGAATCTGACCACGGTAGGAGGGGTCGGTCATGGACTCGGGGTAGCCAACGAGAGAGGTGGTGAAGACGGCTTCGCCGGAGATGTTGGAGTTGGCACCAAAGGCACGGCCGGAAAAGACGGGACCGTTCTAAGATGAATTAGCGAGGGTTCAGCATCTTGTAGTCCGAGAGCCACGACGACAACATACACGAATGGTAAAGGTGGCGTCGAGGTTCTTCGCGGGAGCGGTGCCACGGGGCTGGTTGTTGGGCATGGCCCTGCCGGAAGCGAACCGGAGCTGGGTTCCGACGCGGGCGCTCAAACCGGCAGCACCACGGGCGGCGGGTTTGGCGAGGTTGATGGTCAATTGGGGAAACATGATGTTTGGTTCGAAGGAGTGTCGAAGTGAGGGATGAAGCTGGTTGATCAAGAACACTTTCTAGGGGCTGGCAGCCTTCCACAAGTGGTCTGTGTTGCTCATGGGTTAGCTCGGACATGACACGATAGTGGCTCCCCTTTGGGGGGGGGGCGGTGAGTCAATTGAGGGTGCGGTGAGGCGTACCAGAGAGATAGTCCTATTGATAAGAATTAGCCAGCTGGAAAGCAGATGAATTGACCAAATGCAGACAGATGAGAGGCGGACGCAGCATGGAAACTGAGGATTCGGGCTCAATGGATGCTTGATGGAAGAGGGCACCGACAGCGGGGTAGGCGGGAAGACATGGAACATGCCATGACCTCACATGGATAACAGCAGCGGGAACATACCTGCGAGGTGAAGATGGACGGGCGCCCGTGCATAAGGGCAACTGGACCGGAATTCGATCAAAGCTGGGCTGTGGAAAAAGGTAGACGGCGGGAGTGGCGGGTGTCGGGGGAGACGAGAATGGAGAGTTTGAGGTTTCTGATGTGTCGGTCGGGAGGACGATGCAGGATGGATGCGGGAGAAGGAGAGCGAGAGTGGGAAGAGTCACAGGCAGGCACAGCCAGCGAGGGCCTGCTTAAGAAAAAAAAGCTTATCATTGGACCCTCCAGGCCAGATACCGTTGAGTCGGGCTCTGACACACGCGGGGCCCTTTCTGATTGGCTGCTCGTCACCGTATGACCGCCGATATCGCGGCAGCGCAGCCAATGCACCCAATTCAGCGAATCCGGCTTTGCCGCTATCTCTTTGCTCGCCTCTCCAATGCTTGGCAGCCAGCAGCGGGAACCTGCTCTCTCCTGCCAGACCTCTTTTGGTGGTGATCCATCCTGCATCAGGCACCAGGTACGGCGCGGATCGTCAGAAAGACGTGGACCTCGTCTGTTGAACCCTGAAGTGGCGTTGGAGGGAGCATGCTCCGCCCCGCCAGCAACTGATAGCCGCGGAGTCATCATGTTGATGTTGGTGTTGCTGTTGGCCCTTGACACTGTAACAAGCAGCTAGCAGTCTTGAAGGTTAAAGGGAGCACAATCATTTGCGCCCAATTCGTAGTCATGACACTTTCATCCCCCCATTAAACCTGCTCCCCGGCTCACGAACACAGTGAACACATGCACCGGAATCAACACGCGTCCCTGCTTTGCACGAATCCTAGTTCAACTAGCTCATCATGTACACCCGTCATATGCCCAAGGTACTGGTACATGCCATTGTTTTTTAAATAGCACCGAGCTCCTTGAGCTTCGCGACGAGCCCGTCCACATCCTCCACCTTGCCGCCACCTTGCCTCGGCGCGGGGAAT